CCTATTTGTCATAGGACAAATTTGTCATAGAACACCACCCAGCCCTCCTACCCTTCTGACCCCAACACCCAGCTCGGGTCCAAAACCCCAGAGTGTGCAGCGCCTTGGGACGTCTTTCTGACCTGAAGGCCGCTCTACAAGTGTAATTTGTTGTTGTCAACTCAAAACGATCACGACTGGAGTTATACATTGCAAACATTGGATCTGTGGCTTTTCCATTCAAAACTAAAAGGTGGTTTGTAAATAAGCAACCTTAACTATATTCTGCCCAAGGAAAGAAGGGAACACTGATGTACACATTTCCTTTCTGGATGAAGGAAAATGGATTCCAGGTTAACATATAGATTGAGAACATATTTTTGATTCAGTGCTGGAGATAGAAATTGAATTGATTTTTTGGCCAATTTTTGGACCATTCATCCCTAAGAGAATGCACTTATCAAATACAGGGAAAAAAGCTTCTGCAACATCACCTCAACAATGTATTTTAACTCTAATGCAGTGTGGACACCTTATTGTGATATTTCAATTTTCCACTTCAACCATCGTTGTGTCTGTCCTAACTGAGACTGGCAACTATGCTAAATATGAGCAATTTTGTTATATGGCTTTTTCCCCCACTAGGAACTAGATTAAGATATCCAGGAATATTTCACTATGGACCCCTAGCTGAAGAGAGACAAGTCTTTCTTCTCATCATTCTGGGATTGGTTAAACTCAAGCCCAAATGACAGTTAAAGCAGACAGTTTGTTAAAAAAGAACAGAATTTGAACAGACATCATGCCTAAAGACAGATTTCTTTGTCAAGAAACTAAAGCCCTGAAAGCAAAGGATAGTGTTCCTCTTAAGAATAGGAGGTTGCTAAGGCATAAGTCTTTATGAAGCATACTTGCAAATTGGCACATGTTCACTCCCTCAGTGTTGCACCCTTTAGTTATAAATCACATATTCTTGACATATCAAACTAAGAAGTGCCCTTTAACATAAAAATCACATTCTAGTACACCAACTGCTTGAAATATAAATTTCTACCCTTATCCTTAACAATGGAACATCATCAGATTCCAGTCACCTGTTCCAGTCTTTTGCTTCATGAAAATTGAGTTTAGTTTAACAGATGAAATTCCCTAAAGTAGGCCACTAAAATAGGTATTTTTCAACAACAAAATTCTAAAGCAGCAATATAAATTGCTCAATGCACTTTTTTTTGGACAGATTCAAAGTTCTTTCTTATCCATCTCCAAATGATACAAGTTAACCATGCCTTGACCCCGAAGTTTCATCGAACAACGCAGTCACATACCATCATTGAGAGCTGGCCAGTTTCACCCGCTTTTATCTTTTCTATCATCAAATCGATCTAGCTAATGCTTGTTCTTTCAATACCATGTCATGTTATATCACGATCCCTTGAAGGGGAGCTGCCAGTCATACACCACCACCACCTTGCACTTATATAGTGTCCACCACGCAGGGTAGCGTCTCAGAGAGCTTAACAATGGCGGAGCCTGACTCCGAGCCGGGGGGAGGTGGCCGTAAGCACAGTCGAATAGGAAAGTCTTCAGGCAGGGCTTGAAAGAGGGGGCAAGGCGGAGGGATTGAGGGAAAGTGTTCCAGAGTTTTGGGGCGTAGAGGCTGAAAGCACGGCCTCCGATGGTGGGGCGGAGGGTGCGAGGGATGAGCAGAAGGCCGGTGACAGTCGAGCGGAGGCGCCGGGTTGTGGATTGGAGAGTGAGGAGGTCGGAGAAGTAGGGAGGTGCCAGGGAGTGAATGGACTTCAAATTGGATTATTCCACTCATCACAAAAATACTTGAAAAATGCTGGCTTTAATGCAATCTATTTATATATCTTTCTCATCAGTGCAGATCAAATATCCTAGTGGGTCATTGACTGGATGCCTGGAATACATCTTAAGAAATCTATCAATAATGCAAACAGATCTAATCATCATTACAAAGAGTTCATTGCTCCACCTTCTGTCTTACAGATCTATTTTATAGCTGGATTGAACAACCTCCATGCTTATTTAATGAGATCTCTCTTTCTGTTCGCAAGATTACATTATCAGATAAAAGCCAGAACCTAGATTTGGATCAATGCCCTCCATGGTAGCTAACGACAGTAATGTTGTACATTGAGATACAAACATGCATTTGCTCTTTCACACTTAAGAGGATCAAGCCGTAATTCTACAACAAAGTAGTTTTTTGTTTATTCCAAGATCATATATTGAGAAATATTCGAAAATAATGCAATGCCTCCTGCATTAGTAAGCTATTCTGGGAATAGTGCAGCACGATTTCTAACCAACTACTGTAATGTGCTTCTAATAGATTCCTAGACTCAATTGGGGTGTCTATGTGGGAGGAAAGGAAAATCAGAGATCAGATCAATCTGTGTTGCACTTGCACGGGTGCCATTGACTCTATTTGCAGAGAGGTAGTAATTATGTAGTTAATTTCCAGCATGATATGCAGTAATTGCAAAAGATGTTTGAATGAAGACAGCCTTTCATGCCATTTCGATTGCATCCTTCCAGAATTCCCACCCTACCATCCACCCATTCCAACATCCAGATGTTTCTTAAATGAATCTGGCACCTGGCCTCATTTCCTGCTAATTTATTTCCGGTCTTTAATTACCCACCCCCTGCCCACCAGGGAAAAGAAATAATTCCTGGTGTATGGCATGGAAAGTTAATTAGTCTGAAATGAATAATTTACAAAATGGGGACACGTGACTGATAGCTTGAACCTTTAAATTGCTTGAATTGAACTTCATAATTATTGTCCACCTGAAATGCATACTATTTTTTACAGGCAATATAACAATGAGCAGAAAGTGTACACTTTAAATATGAAAAGGCATTTCCAAAGCATTGGAGAGTTTTCTTCGTGTTAATTCCAGCTTATGTGTCCCAGTTCTCACCAAATAACACTGCAGTATTGCAATCTTTAGTTCCATTGCTGGAATCAAGACATATTCCTATACATTAGTGTTTCAACATTTCCGATCCCATACAACAACATTTTTTGCCCCCAAAGTATGTGGGAAAAAAAACAAGCTCAATGAACATAGTTTTTCCATATAAAAATATTAGAAAAATAATATTTTGTATTTCAATCTTAATATCACCTGAACCAGTCAGTCTTAATCCTCCATATAATAAATCTGTCTTGCCACCTTCTCCAGAAGGAACTCTGATATTACTCCCGATTCAGCCATCACAAATCTGATCCATGCGTGTAAAATCTGATTTGAAAACGTAAAATTATGAAGAGTGTGTGTTCAGGATTTGACAGATTCTGAGGTTATAGAATAGGTTGATAAAGTCGATCCCTCATAGTAAAAAATTAATAGTTTCTGTTGATATTCAAGCAAAAATTTCAAAGATTTAAACAAATTCAAAAATAAATCCAATTCATATTGATTGCCAAAATCTTCATTTTGTGTTTTCCCCATTTGCTAACCATATTTTGGTGCTTGGTAAGCACGGTTTGATTTCCTATACTTTACTCTTCCTACATTCAATGATAACCCAGTTATGCTATGTTCAGCATAGACCATACAATGCGATAATCCAGAACAGGGTATTGCAAAAGACAAAGTAAGTTCTTGGTGCACATAAATCATTAAAATATGAAAATACAATGTTGCATGTATATTTATAAATTGTATACTGTATTTATGTTTGCCAAACTAAACAAACCATCAACACTAGAGAAACTGCTGAAAAATATCAACAAACTAATAAAAAGGAGAGCAAAATATTTTGACATGTACATTGATGACTTTTTTCAGTTGTGTTACACTTTTGCCTTTTGTTTTAAATTTGTGATAAAAACATTTCACCTAATTTTCTACCTTATAGCAATTTTGTGCAAACAAGTAACGGAACTTACCTCTGTTTTCCATTATTGACAAGTTTTCATCATACAAAAAAACCACTGAAGATATCACTTACTGTTACCCATACATAGTATTATTTTCCATTAGATGGTATTCTTCAGTCGACCATACACTCATTTAGATAATGATTGTTCCTGTTCTTTTATGTTAAATAAAAGAATAGTCGTGTGTTGTTAATATAAAGTTTAGTTATATTTCATTACGAAATAATTAGTAACTCCGATTGCCTGGGTGATTACAATATTGCAACAACACATTAATATGAATTGCCATTAGTAACTACTGACCATAATTCTTAGTTGGAAAGTGATAATATCGCACTTATTTCATAATCTTGATCCTTTATGAATAAATTACTTGTTGGAAGAAACCCTTGGAAAACAAAAATACAACAACTTTTCTAGTCCCAAGCGATTGATTGATTTATAAATAATACAGCACTGGTGAATTAATAAAAATAGATTGTTTTGTACAAACCCAGCACACAGATCTAGCTTACATTTGTTGTATTTTAATGCAATACGTTGCATGTATATTTATAAATTGTATACTGTATTTATGTTTGCCAAACTAAACAAACCATCAACACTAGAGAAACTGCTGAAAAATATCAACAAACTAATAAAAAGGAGAGCAAAATATTTTGACATGTACATTGATGACTTTTTTCAGTTGTGTTACACTTTTGCCTTTTGTTTTAAATTTGTGATAAAAACATTTCACCTAATTTTCTACCTTATAGCAATTTTGTGCAAACAAGTAACGGAACTTACCTCTGTTTTCCATTATTGACAAGTTTTCATCATACAAAAAAACCACTGAAGATATCACTTACTGTTACCCATACATAGTATTATTTTCCATTAGATGGTATTCTTCAGTCGACCATACACTCATTTAGATAATGATTGTTCCTGTTCTTTTATGTTAAATAAAAGAATAGTCGTGTGTTGTTAATATAAAGTTTAGTTATATTTCATTACGAAATAATTAGTAACTCCGATTGCCTGGGTGATTACAATATTGCAACAACACATTAATATGAATTGC